CACACACACACACACACACACACACACACACACACACACACACACACACACGAAGCTTCTCTTTTGTTCCCCTGCCCTGGCAGCGATCACCCACCCGCCTCTCCCTTCTTGTTCCCACATACCTCACACCAGGAAAGTGTAAATGAACAGTTATGAGTCAATCTAAAGGTACCGGATTGCACCCCTTGGAGCAGTGCTCTTCAGCCTTGGCAACTTGAAGATATATGGACTTCAACTCCCAGAATCCTTGACTGGGGAATTCTGGGAGTTGAAACCTGCAAGTTGCTAAGTTGAAAACCGCTGCCCTGGGGGAGGGGTGAACCAATCTAACACCAACACTATCTAAGAGGCCCTTCCCAACTCAATGCTTTCCGGCTAGTTGGGATTTCAGCTCCCATAATTCCCAGCTCGTATGCAATGGGAGTGAAAAGAAAAGGGGTCTAGAGTGTAAGGCTCGAAATGGATAAATGTAGAAATCATTTCTAAATAATAACAACTAATCATTGGAAGGAAAATCACAGGATTGTAAGCTACAATGGGAAGTAACCTTGCAAGGGAATTTTGGGAGTTGAAGTCCACATATCCTCAAGCTACCAAGACTAAAAAACGCTGCCTTAACTACTACGTATACTATAAATAATGTATGACCTAGAGCAGGCTTGGGAATTCTGGGAGTTGAAGTTCACCCACCTTAAATTGCCACAGTTGAGAAACATTTATCTACAGCAATGGTAAGAACTACCTATCTTTAAAAAGATATTGAACAGAGGAGGGGGGAATTCAATAATTCTAAGCCCTAAACTTTTATCTTGTCACAAGCCATAAATTCATATACTTTTTGCAAGTAAAATATTACAATTTACTAGAACCTTTATGTTTAGAGGCAGTTTACCAGATAGCTTTCTATCCCCTGCCGGTGGGCTTGGAAGAGGCAAATATCGTGCTGTCTTTACAGGAAACAGGAAGCTAGACCTCAGATAGTTAACTAGTTCTTGTGTGGATTTCTTATTTACAGTATGTTCTGCTTGATTTCTGTCTCTAAGCTCCACCTTCTCTGAATAAACTTTGTAATTACTATGAAAATAACCTTAAACTCCAAAAGCAGCTGCAGCTGAGCTATTCTTATTGCAGTTCTATCAATAAATAGAAATACTGTATGGTCAGTCAGAATAGTTTGGCAGCATTTTTTGTTTTCCTTTCAAAAATCTTAAAATTTGTCTGGTGAGTTTTCATGAGCACAACTACAAAGTCATATATCATATTAGCAATTAAGATGGGTTTGTTTTTTTTGCTTACTACTGAAAGCATGATTCGGCACAGCACTTCTTTCCTCTCACTGTCTTACATGGACAAAAATTTACTGTATTTTACAGATATAGGTATACTCCCCTAAAAAAATTAGAGATTGCTACTGTATTTATCTGGATAAACGCCTCCTTACAAATATGTAAAATGTGTGCCACATAAAGGCTAAAGATGTTGCTGGAGTAAAACTGAATAAATTGATTCCCCATAGGTACAAAGAATTATTTATTTAATGCAATGGGTGATCTAGACTCTAAAGTACCAGTATTGTATTTCAGAGAATATAATGAGAAGTATTAAAATGAGGACTCATAAGGATAGGATAATTACAAAGGGGAGGGGGAGGCTGTCTTTTTAAGTTGATGCTGAAATAGAATATATTTGGATAGTGTGAATTTTGGTTTTGTCAATAAATCAATAAAGTATAGACATATACAAGATGCTCAATTGAATCCAGACAAACCACATAATGGTTTACTACAATATGTGAATACAGTAGACAACCTTGTTTTGTAGTGTGATGTTTCAGCTTTGCATCCTCAGGGATGAAGAAAAGTGGGGAATCTCCCTTAAAATAATAGCATGAAGTTAGCTGTTGGAAACCTATTTTTAACAACATCTTGCCTGATGAAAAGATCTAGAGGGCTCAAAATGTGTGTCATTAAAGTCTTCCCTTAATATGGTGTTGGAAGAAATATCCAGGTCCAGGTCCAAGCTGGGAATAAAATTGAGCCTGATTGGAAAGAAAGATTCTGTTTATTGGTGAACAGAACCAACAGAGCATGCAATTCTAGGACAGCTGACAAAATGGAGTAGATAGCAGGGTAGGTTTTTATGCCTTTTTTATTTCTATGGGGTCATGTGGGGTCATGGCTGGCACTATAGGCAAAAGGGGAAATGCAAATGCTAGATATTTGTCTGAGCTAATCTTGTCAATCTTTGGTTTATTGTTTATCTGAGGTTTCAGTCTGACCCAGTCTTTCTGAATAGATTTCCAAATCTGTATTTTTAAAAGCTGGCCTTCTCAGTTTCTGCTTGGGGCAGGGAGACTGGGACTGGTTTCTGCCTCCCTTAAGATTTTTTTCCCCGTTCTCCTTTAGAGGAAATATTCTATCCTGCCTTTTTAAATATCCCCCAAAATATTTCATTCTCTTTTTAAAAAAAAAACAAATTTTATTGATTTTACAATTAAAAACAAATCAACAACATATACACAAATAGAAGAATGAGATAAGAAAAAAGAAAGGAAAAAGAAAGGAGAAAAAGAAAGGACAAATAAACACTTAAAAACATTCTCATTTTCGACAGTTTGTAAGATCTTTTCTCTTCTTGACTTATGCCATAAACGCACATCTCATCCATATATATGTTTATATATCACTCATATAGATTTGTCCTATTCTTTTTTACCTTACAATACAAAGTCTATCTTTGATCTAACCATTTATACCAGCAATTCCAATTGTTAAAATATATAGAAGAATCTTTATTTGTTAAGGCTAGAGTTAGTTTGTCGATTTCTGCACAATCTGAGAATTTTTGGATGATCATCTGTTCTGTAGGTATGTGAGGTAGTTTCCAACATTGAGCAAATGCTAATCTGGCCGCTGTTAATACGTGTATTGTTATGTACTTCACTTTTTTAGGTAGCTGTTCATCGAAAATCCCTAACAGGAAGAACTCTGGTTTATACTCAATCTGTTCTTTTGTTATATCTTCTAGCCATTTTCTAATTCTTCGCAAGTATTTTGGATTTCTTTACAAGACCACCACATATGAAAGAAGGTTCCATCTATTCTTTTACATTTCCAACATTTCGGGCTCGTGTTGGGGTGCATCTTCGCTAATCTTGAGGGAGGAAGGTGCCATCTGTAAAACATTTTATAAGCGTTTTCTTTATATTCTGCCGATTTGGTGATCTTATTGTTTCTACTCCAGATCTTTTCCCATTCTGTTAGTGTGATACTCCGTCCTACGTTCCTACTCCAGGCTATCATATTCCCTTTAACTGTCTCTTCTTCTAATTCTACTTCTAATAAATAATTGTAAAATTTAGTTATATTTTTCTTGTCTGATCCTAGTAAAATTTTGTCTAATTGCTGGAGTTTATTGTTAATTCTGAATTCTTTTCTATCCTGTTTGTATCTACTATGAATTTGGAGATATAGCCACTGATCTATTTTAAATCCCCGCTCTTGCAGCTCTTGTTGTGTTTTCAAATTTCCTTGTGGATCCAATAAATCTTTATATTTGATCATTTTGGTAATGTCCAAATTGTTTGGATGAGTCATTGCCTCCATTGTTGATAACCAAATCCGTACTTTTTGATAGTGTTTTTTCCATATTTTTTTCCAATTGGTTAATAGTGAATCTCTAATTAAATGTCTGTGGAAATATGTCTGTTTGACTCTCCCTACTTCCCATAAAAAGGCATGCCACCCTCTTTGCAAATCGTGGCCTTCTAACAATAGCGTTCTTTTGTTGATAAAATTCACCCAATCTTTTAACCATACTAGGGAGGCTGCCTTATAATATAATTCCCAATTTGAAGTGCCAATCCCCCCCTGCTCTTCAAATCCTGCAATGCCTTTAATTTATTCTAGATTTTTTTCCTTGCCAAATAAATTTCACAGTTATCTTGTTAAGTTCTTCAAAAAAAATTCTGTGTAGTTTAATTGGAATCATCTGAAATAAGTATAAAAATTTTAGTAGAATATTCATTTTGATAGCAGCAATCCTGCCCAATAGTGAAAGTTGCAGCCTACCCCATGATTCTAGATCTTTAATTGTTGCAACAATTTGTCATAATTATTCTCTTTAAGTGTCTTACAATGTGGTGTTAGACATATTCCTAAATATTTAACTTTCTTTGTTACCTGTATTCCCATGACCTCGTCTAAATCTTTTTTCTGTTCTTCTGTTAAATTTTTAGTCATTATTTTTGTTTTCTTCCTATTAATTTTAAGTCCTGCTACCGCACTGAATTGTTCTAGTTCATTTATCAATTTTTCTCCTCTTTCTTTTGGTTCCTCCATAAAAAAGACCATATCATCGGCAAATGCTTGCAGTTTGTATTCTTCTTTCTTAATTTTCAATCCTTTAATCTCTGGATTTTGCCTAATTCGTGTTAATAATGTTTCTAGAGCGAATATGAAGAGGAGGGATGAAAGTGGGCAACCTTGTTAATTCCTTTTTCTATTTTGAGTATATTCCCCATTTATTATGATATTAGCCTGCTGTGTATCGTAGATTGTTGTTATGATGTTTTCAAATTTAGTGCCTAAAGTCATATTATAAATTTTTTGAATTAGAAATTGCCAATTTAGGTTATCAAATGCCTTTTCTGCATCTAAAAACATAAGTGCAGTTTGTTTTTTGGGGTGGGCTTCATAGAATTCTAAAATATCTACTACTGTTCTTAAATTGTTCCTTATCTGTCTAGTCGGGAGAAATCCATTTTGATCTTCATGTATATATAAATTTAAAATTCGTTTTAATCTGTTAGCTATGATAGAGGTAGATATTTTGTAGTCGATGTTTAGGAGTGAAATTGGTCTGTAGTTGTTAATATATCTAAGGTCAGATTCCTCCTTCAGGATCAGCGAAATCAATGCGAGTCCGGCATCTTGGCTGCCAATAAGACATCGTTAAACACTTCCATCATAAGAGGTCCAATTTGTTCCGCAATTGCCTTATATAATTCTCCTGGGATCCCATCTGGCCCTGGGGTTTTATTATTCCCCTGATTCTCTATTGCTGATTTCAGTTCGGACCAAGTAATATTTTTATTTAATAATTCTATCAATTCATCTCCAATTACTTTATCTTTCATTTCATCTAAGTAATTTCTTATTCTATCCTCCTTCTTTTTTGTATAACTCTTCAAAGTATTTATGTGCAATGTCTTTTTTCTTTTCTATCTCTTGTTG